AAATTTTCACTAACAATGGGATATGGTTGTGTACCCCCCCCTTGGGATTTATCTCCATATGGAGAAAAATCATAAAATATTAAATCTAAAATATTTGAATATAGTTTACTCAGATAACACTTGACTGAGATGCAAGCAGCTTAGATTTAGTTCAAGAATTTACAAAAGAAAGAGAAAATTATCGTAAAATATTTATTCCAAATTCTGCATTAAATAAATTCCCGAGATAAAATTTTTCATGAAAAATGTTTTTTTTTTCTCCAGATTTGATATTTTTTGTTTGTTTGAACGATTTAGTACAATCTATCCTTGAAGATTAGAATCTTTAGATTAATATAATCTTTGAGATTTCTCACTTTTCAACAATTCTTTGAACACACACACAAATTCATAACATTATAGTTGTAATATACTTTAGTTTCGCCCTTTAGACCTAATTTTAACTGAACATGAAAAAAATTGAGAAAGAAAAATCCTTGTTTCAATATTTTATAATATTTGCATTTAATCTCGATGGCCATTAGTTGATAAATGGAATACAAATCAAAGAATTTTTTGTAGTTTAAACTTTTAAACCTAGGTAAGACCAAAGACTTTGCTAATTAAAGATAGCGAATCAGAAAATCTACGCAAATTTGACGCATTTTCTGGGGTACTGAAAGATCGTAACAAAGGTCGTCTTCTTCAGAAATGCTGACGTTTCATAATGTCGTCTTTTGTAATTGTAAGGAATTAAGTAGTTATTTAGTTTTTCTATCTTGAAATATTTAATTTGTTCATAGTCCATAAAAGTGACTAGTGGAAACACAATGAACATAATTTACAGAATTCATCACTTTCTAATCAACTTTAAAAGACTTCTAAGTAAAAGGTCGTCCATTAATTCGCATTTTTAGCGAAACTTTCTGTGATATTTTTTCTTTAATGGAGGATATTTTGAAACAAAATTACCATAAATTAATTAATTAATTAATTTATGCGATATCATTTCTTTGCCTAAGATTAAACAGAAGACGACATTTACAAAAAAATTATTTACCGTTTATAAAATTTGAAATTTCTGGTCCCCTCTCTTCTTCATCGCCTAAAATTCCATTCCGTAGAACCTCAGGAATAATATTTGACGACATCTTAAAATAAATTAATTAATTAATTAATTTATGCGATATCATTTCTTTGCCTAAGATTAAACAGAAGACGACATTTGCAAAAAATTTATTTACCGTTTATAAAATTTGAAATTTATGGTCCCCTCTCTTCTTCATCGCTTAAAATTCCATTCTGTAGAACCTCAGGAATTATATTTGACGACATCTTAAAATTTTCACTATCAATTATTGGCTATTTTCAATACAAAAGAGATGCGTAACTTTATCACAAGTTCAGCTATAATTCACCAGACGATCCTTATATCCAACAATTGATTAAATAAATTTTAAAATACAAATAAATATCTTTAATTTTAGTTATTTTTTAGCACAAAAAATTCACAATTGTGTTAAAAAACTAAGGTTTTAATGTCGATCGTTAGACTCTCAAACAACCAAAATAACCAATGACGTCAAAATACAGCTGTACTGGCGTACACAATAGTCGGATAAATTTCCAACGCCTCGTCTAGCTTTATAATTAGCAAAGTCTTTGGGTAAGACCAAGGAATATACCAGGAACACCCAACTCAGATATACGCATATTGTGTACTGCACACTCTGGGAGGAATGTAAACAAACCCAGTGCCCCCCCTCTGATAAACAGAGTGATTTTACAGTCCAACAAAACAAACTAATTAATATATCAAGTTAGTGCTGATACAACTTAATTATTTAAATATAATTTTGGCTTTCAGATCGAAGGAAAAATTATTAATGCTCAGTGAGATTTGTGCAACTCGTACAACTATAAAGGAGAAGCAAGGTAAAAAGATTCCCATTTATCCTTGTTTCCGAGGTTTAACTTTTTTTAAGTTTTAAAACCTTTCTCCTTAGGTATATTCTTTCCTACTAATGTTTAAATCCTTCCTCCCAATGTTTAAATTTTTCCTCATAACGTTTAACCATTCAAGATCGTAATCCCTTTTCCCAACATTTGAATCCTTCCTCCTAAGGTTTACATCCTTCCTCCCAAGGTTTACATCCTTCCACCCAAGGTTTACATCCTTCCTCCCAAGGTTTAAATCCTTCCTCCCATGGTTTAAATCCTTCCTCCCGTGGTTTAAACCCTTCCTCCCGTGGTTTAAACCCTTCCTCCCATGGTTTAAATCCTTCATCCTAAGGTTTTAATCCTTCCTCCCAAGGTTTACATCCTTCCTCCCATGGTTTTAATCCTTCCTCCCAAGGTTTACATCCTTCCTCCCGTGGTTTAAACCTTTCCTTCCACGTTTTAAACCCTTCCTCCCAAGGTTTAAACCCTTCCTCTCGATGTTTGTATCCTTCCTCCTTAGGGTTTAATCCTTTCTTCCATAGTTTAATCCTTCTTCCCAAGGTTTAATCCTTCTTCCCAAGGTTTAAACCCTAAGATTTACATCAATTCAATAGTTTCTTTATTCTAGAACCAGATTGAAATGATAGAAGAAGACGAACCAGAAGAATATGAAGTATTTTCAATTTCCAAAAATTTTATGTCTGTGGTGATGGATTTTTTCTAAAAATACCTATTTTCATAATCGTTCTTCTAATTCTAAAGATAATTATCAAACATAAAATGCAACTTATTCTGAATCTTATTCCTTAAAAACGGCTAACTTTAACTGTTTTCAGGAATCTTTGAGCGAGGAAAATTCAGCGCCAAAAAGTCCTCAAAACTGCAGAATATATGTATGTGGGTTTATTGCAAAAAAAACTCCATACAAAAATTCCTGACCTTGTCAGAGTAGGCGAGGAGAAAACAAACTGTGATTGGATAGACTTAAAATCCAGAGAATCCTTGTTTTATCCATCCAAAGATCTATTGGAGGAAGTTGAAAAATATGAGAAAATATTTCAAAAAATACATGGGGAGTCTCTGGATAGAGGACATGATCCTATCGAAAAAACAATTTCAACTTTTCTGCAATAAACAAAAGATGGCCTCGGGAGGTTGTAAAACTTTTTGTAAATGTAAGATTTTACAGTAAACTGAAAAAAAACTTAATGTAAGCTTGAAGGAAAATAGTAAAAAAAGATGTCAGAACAATGAAACAAACTGCTCAGTTTATGTTTTAGAATTATGATGTGATAAAATAAAAAAGCTTGACGATTTGTTTTTAATAAAATAGAATGCATAAAATGTCAATAAATTAATGTATTAAAATATAGATTACATTCTTTTAATTTTTTCTCAAATTTTATGTTAGAAGGTTTTATTTATAAATGACTAATATTTAATGTGCATTTCCCAAAAAAGTTTTTTAATGTGAATTAGGCATACAGCTTTATATGTTAGGCATTGAATTATGTCTACTGTCCCTTTCTGCATTGATTCCAATGGAATGAGAACTTGTTTTTGCTTTTATTCAAACATCCCAATTTTACTATATAAAGTTTCACTATTTGAATACAATCTTGGTAATTATCATTTCTCTCTCCTGCCTTTAAAGCATATACTCGCAAGTAAGAAATATTCTTGCGTTTTTTAATCATTATTCAATCATGTCTACGATAGAAATATATCTTATTATCCCCACTCCGACATAATTGATGTTTTGCCCCTGAATTCTTTGTTTTGATCTCCTCCCACTGCAGTACACAGATTTGACGCATCAGATATGGCGGTTTCTGGTCTATATATTTCTTGGGTAAGACCATTCCCGTGGTTCTAAAG